CTCTCTGTCTTCTTTCCATATCATAGTCTCTCTCTGGAGAGAGAGCTCATGCAAAGAAAAGCAGCCAACCACAGGGTCTACAAGAGCCCTACAGGTGTTGTTTTTGGGCTGTTCCTCCACCCACTCAATGCACTGCAGCCTCTGTGGATTATCTCTCCGTGCCACTTACAAGGGACAGGAACGTCAGGACTCTCCATCTGAAATTCCCAGCCTTCCTTGTTTTAGCAAAAACCAATCTGTTCATCATCAGAACATAATGAAAACATGAGTGTGTGCGTGTGGTTTTTTTAAATGGGGCCAGTGGCTGACTACCAAAAAATAATTACATTTATTAATACAATAGAAAAAGAAAGGGTTACCAATTTCTTAGAAGAAAAATAACATGGACCAGCACCACCTGGTACATGTTACAAGTTTAAATGCCCACATTTGTTGTTCTGAGAGCTCCCACCACACTGCAGATGTTTGATCAAGGACAACCACCATCAGAGCTGCTGTAAGAACACGTCATAGTCAGTTCTTCAAACAGAAGACTGAAAAGATATTCTTCCTGTCTTAGAAGCTCTTGGTGCAGAGAGAACTTACCAGTGTGGAAAACAGTCTTGCTTTTTAATTCAAGAAAAACCATAAATAAATCTATCATTTCCTTCTCTGATACAGTCTGCAGAGTGGTCTGTGAAGAGTCCTTTTCCATTCCTACCACTTTATCTGGGTAAGAGGAGAGGGAAGGGTGGGAAGGTGCCAGTGTCCTGCCAGGCCATTCGGGCGATGTTCTGCTCTCCACGCCTTTCTGCTGGTGGTAGATGGGGGAGGAAGAGGCCGCCCACCAATTACCTCTTCTTGGAGCCATATTTTTTGTGTTCATAGAATAGATCTGTCCTAGAGCTCCCCAAATTGACGGTCTTTGGACAACCATCTCTATCTTTCTCCTGGATGGAGCACTCCTTATAATGATGGGCATCAGAGATTCCAGGGCCTCCTCAGATCACACAGCCCCCTGATAGGAGCCACAGTTACACTCATCACATATGTGCACATAGGAGTCACAGATCACACACTAGCCCCCACATTTTTCACACAGTTTTCTGGCATCAACAGCAGCCTGCTTGCAGCAAAAGATCAAGTCCAAACATCAGCTTTTTAAACTGATAAATTAATTTTAACATGTCAGTCACTGCTGCTGCTTTATTTATTTGCCATTCTTTATTCTTATGCCCTGGAGGGATTTCTTTTTTCCACCTGGGAATACTTAGAACGTTAGCTAGAAATGCTTAACTGATATTTCCTTTCAGGCTCTTCAAATCTTTAAACAAGGAACATTTCAGAAGTGTTCTGCTTTTGGTTGCTGTAGATCCATGTCAGTATTTTATTTTGATAAATTAACAGTTTTGCTTTGCCATGGCCAGTGTGGCTCAGTTGGTTGAGCATTATCCCATGCACTGAAAGGTCTCAGGTTCAATTCCCTGTCAGGGTTGCAGGCTTGATCCCCAGTAGAGACGTTCAGGAGGCAGATGATCAATGTTTCGCTCTCACATTGATGTTTCTCTCCCTTCCTCTCTCTCTAAAAACACAATAAAAATATTTTTTAAAGTTTTGCTTTATTACATATAGATAACAAAGAATAAAATGTATAACAATAATAAATATCAAGGCATGACTATTCACAGCCTCTTTCTTCTCAACTGCTAAGCAATACTTTGCTATTGTCTACCTAACCTTTTCCTCTTCCCTCGGTTTGGGGCTTTATTAGTAGATCAGAGTGAAGGGGTGTGTGGTGTGTGTGTGTGTGTGTGTGTGTGTGTGTGTGTGTGTGTGTGTGTTGGAGGAGAACAGACTAGGAAAGCAGGAGGGAAATACCAAAGAAAGATTGGTAAAATTTACATTGCAAAGAAAGCAATTGACTGATGGAAGAGAATAAATTTGATCTCAGGGAAGAAAGGGGAAATGGCATGAAAGTGCCCAAGTTTCTGAGAAAATATTAGTAAAGATGTTGAGGTATAGCCGCTGTATGGAGGAGGGATGTTGAAATGACAGATAGAAAAGAGCTACTTCATAGTTTTGCTCTAAAGAGTGCATCTGTCCACTACACCCACCACACACACCTAGAGCTTTCTGAAGTGAAGGTTTTACTTGCTTTCAATATTTTAGGAGGACGGTTTTCTCTGAATTTTATATTATGCTAAGACTGGGCCACAAAGGACTGGACAATTCAAACTACCAAAATCTCAGGACACTGGGACACGTTTCCTATTTAGACATTTTCTATAGACATAAATTAGTGACTCCTAATTTTAAGATTAAGATTTTTTAAAAACACATAGGGAAAATATTAAGGGATGATGCATATTCTTTAAAGATGCATTTCTTGAGGTTTTACTCATTTTGTGAAACTTTTGGGAAAACTCTGCTATTAAGCATTTAACATTGCTACTACCCTGAGGCCTTCCTAAAATCAGAAACTCTTTTTCCCACAATCTTCCAGCATTTTTCTTATATCTCTGTTATTATACTCAATTTAATTTGTCTGGCTTGTTTTTTCAAAGAAACTTCTTATTAAAACACCATATGTTGGCCTGGATTTAGTCTTTTCCTCCCACAGATTTACTGAAGTATAATTGACAAAATGTATTTTATATTTCGCATATAATAGTGTATTAAAGTATACAACTTGATGATTTGATATACGGTGTAAAAGGATTCGTACACTTGAGTTAATTAACATCACCTGATAGTTAACTTTTTTGTGTGTGGGGGGGATGCTTCAAATGTATTCTCTTAGCAAATTTCAAGTGTGTTCTACAGTATTATTAACTATGGTCACCATACTGTACATTAGATCTTCAGAACTTACCCATCTTATGCAAAGTTTGTGCCTTTGAGCAATCTCTCCCCATCCTCCCACCTCCCCCAGCTCCTGACAACCGCCAATCTACTCTGTTACTATGAATTTGGCTTTTTTTAGATTCTACATGTAAGGGAAATCATACAGTACTTGTCTTTCTCGGTCTGGCTTATTTCACTTAGCATAATGCCTTCCAGTTTTATCCATGTCATTGCAAATGGCAGGATTTCCCTCTTTTTTGTGGCTGAATAAATTCCATTGTGTGGATATACCACATTTTCTTTATCCATCCATCAACAGACACATAGGTTGTTTCCATGTCTTGGCTACTGTAAATAATGCTGCACTGAACATGACAGGAGAGATATCTCTTCGAGAGAGCAATTTCATTTTTTTGAATATATACCCAAAAGTGGGATTGCTGGATCATATGGTAGTTCTATTTTTAATTTAGTCTGGTTTTATTCTTAATTGTGTGTTGTAAGGTCATTGAAGACAGAGACCAAACCTGACTTATAAAACAATATCATGGCAATTAACAGCACAGGTCTTGAAGTTAGACACAGCTAAGTTTGAATCTTGGCTCTGCCACTCCTTAGTTAAAATACTAAGTCTTTTGTGTGTGTGTGCGGTTGTGGTTGTTGTTGTTCAACCTTGTTTAGTCTCAGTACTCTCATCTGTAATATTGAGGTAACTCCTATTCCTCTCAGGGCAGTCGTGAACATTAAATGAGAAGATGTATGAAAGGGTTTAGAACACACCCAAGTATTCAACCAATGGTAACCAGTACTATGTGTATGCCTACTTTATTATTTGAATTGCTACCACATAGCACAAAAGTCGCTGCTCAGATCTTTGCTAAACAAATCATGGCCAAGATGAGAGAAGAAAACCAAGAAAGGAATCTAGGGCCTGGCACCCTTATTTTATTATTATACCTTTGTTTCTCTCTGTGACCTTAAGATTTGGAGCCCCAGGGTCTGCCATGGAGGTTTGAAGCCTTCTTCTAGTCCAAATGAGCCTTGTTAACGGTGGGGTAGGAGGAAAGAGTTAGTACCAGGGCCTCCTTAGGAGTTCTGAGCCTCTCAGGGGAATTCCAATTCAATCTCTAGTTCCTTCACTCTTCCTGCCCTCCCCCCATGGCATCTCTAGAGAATCTCCTCATGGTGGGAACTTCCAGTGACTAACCTGTAACTTTGTGGGGTCCCCAGGAGTTGGGTGCCCTCTTAAATACCACTTCCTGCATGAAGCACTTCCTGTTTTTCCAGGTCAGAAGGAGTCTCTCCTGTTCTATCACATAGCGCTCATTGTCCTCTTCTAGCGATTAGCTTTACGTCATTACCCCTGTGAATTGCAAGGTCTCTGAGAGCAAAGTCTGGCTCTAGTTCCTGTTTGATCAGCACAGTGAGCTGTACATGGTTCTCAAGTAATGATTGTTTTGCTAAATTATACTGAAGCCGGTCTTGGGGCTGCAGCTCAAGCTGAGCTAAATCCCAGGCCTTGCCCTAAACGTCTAAGGCAGCCGTGGGCAAACTACCACCCGCGGGCCGGATCCGCCCGTTTGAAATGAATAAAACTAAAAAAAAAAAAAAGACCGTACCCTTTTATATAATGATGTTTACTTTGAATTTATATTAGTTCACACAAACACTCCATCCATGCTTTTGTTCCGGCCCTCCGGTCCAGTTTAAGAACCCATTGTGGCCCTCGAGTCAAAAAGTTTGCCCACCCCTGGCTAAGGTGTTATCCTGATCCCCAGAGCTTTAAGATACAAACTTCTGCCACCTCTGAGGGAACACAGCCTCTGGTAAATTAGCAGTTCATTGTTTGATTCACTGTACAGTTCCCAGCAATAGGTTTCAAAAAGCTGGCAGGAATCCAGAAGAGAAATTTTATATAGGGAATAGATAGGGATTTACAAAATGGTAACATCAAACTTTTTCCTCTCTATAATTTAAAGTTGATTTTTTTTTTACACCATCCAACGATTACATAGGAGTGTGGTGGAAACAGCTGAAAACAATCTGAAAGAATGCCGGCTCTATTAGCAGACAGTTTACTTAGTAGTCATATAAAAATAATAAAGTAATAATTTATTTGGTCCTAAATATAATTATTCTGAACCACTCAACATGCACAAAATAATAAATTTTTCATTCTCAATTATTATGACCATAGTCTGCTAAAGTGGCTAGCCAAAAATAATATTTTATAGCTATTATTATGAGTTGTTTATCTTAATTTGGGTGAAATAACATCTCAGAAAAAAAGTTTGCCATCTCAGCAACTTTCTTTTCTCACTCGGCATGGAGAGAAAAAAAAAAATTACCCTTTCAATTTCGTCTTCCCCTGCTTGGACCTCAGTTCTGCTTGAAGAATGCGAACGTGTCTGCTCGCGATTTCATGTAGCTCTTCACGAATTCGGTTAATCTCCTGAAGCCCTCGGCCAGCCCATCCCCGGTGGTGGCACAGCAGGGCTGCACATACCAGTTCCGGTCACTGCAGAGCTTCTTCACCTTGAACAGCCTGGTGATGTCCTCCGCGGTCAGAGCTCCCGGCTTATCTTGTTTATTGGCTAACAGAACCACCGGCACATTTCTCATGTGCTCGTTCTTCAGAATGTGCTCGAACTCCCTCCTGGAGGCTTCCAGCCGCTGCTTGTCCGTGCTGTCCACCACGTACACCAGCCCGTCGGCGCGCTCGCAGTAGCAGCCCCACACGCTCCTCATCTTCTCCTGGCCGCCCACATCCCAGACCGTGAAGGACAGGCTCTTCCCCAGCTCCAGCATCTCCACGTTGAAGCCCACGGTTGGCATGGTCACAATGTCCTTAGCAAGTTTCAGTTTATAAAGGACGGTGGACTTCCCAGCAGAGTCCAGGCCCAGAAGAAGAATTTGGGCTTGCTTGACTTTAGGGCTTTTAGAACTCGACAGACCCATTTCAAGCTTTTCATGAATCCCCTTTCCGCCAGAGACAATGTTTCTTCTCCGGGTCTTGCAGGAAAATGCTAGGAGGAGAGCAGAGAGCAAATGCTTCCCATTGTATGCAGAGAAGAGGAACTTGTGTGTATTTACGCTGTAGCTTATCAGCTTGATTATGGGCAAACAGTGTTTTATTTGCAGTTCCAACCAATCCCGAGGAATCTCTGGTGTGAGTAACCAGCCAATGCCATCGCCGCTCAAGGGGTGAAATAGTTTGTGGGTGAGTCGGACTCAGGAGGGGCCGCCTGGGTGATGCTGCAGCTTGTTTTCCTCCAGGTATTGGAAAGGTAAGGTAACCAGAGGTTCAGACATGCATGGGAGCAAGAGTTGGCGGCAGAATAAAACTTAACTTGACAAGCGGTTTGTAGAACTTCTCCAATTATTTGACCATTTATCTTACCCCAGCAGCAAATAAGTAACCAGCCTTCTGAAGTCATAAAGAGAGGGTTTATCTCATACTTCCCTACGCACTATCTTTAGTACTTTCCCCTTGTCCGGATTACTCAGTAGGAAACTTGAAACCACCCAAGGATGCCTGAACCTTACTCCCATAATCACATAGAGAATCACTTCTTTAATCTTCTAGGCAGAAAATTTACACTATTCATAAGACTAGATTTACAGAGGAGGAAGCTTGTCACACAAACACTTTTAAAATTAAGCACACAGTCTGATTAAAGATGACAAATTGATTTCTTTGGAATCAATATCTTAAAAAATATTTTATTATGTTTATCTCCTCTCTTTCTCAAGATTCCACCAAAATGATGGTGAAATAAAAATAAAAAGAACATGTAAACACATAACAAGAAGGCAGGAGAGTCCATCCAAGGGTGAGGGATTTTAACAAAATTCTGGCAGATGGAATATAGATGGGAGATGAGTGGTAACTGATCCAACAGGATGAAATTGAGGCTTTGGTGCTGGTTACAGAGGGAAGGAGGGAGATGAGGGACTAAAAACATAGGGGGTCAGCTAAAAGTCTGAATCAGGAGCACACACACACACACACACACACACACACACACACCTTTGCTGAGTGACAATTTCAGCAAATGACAAGTTACTCCCTAGGCAAAAATAAAAATAAAAATTGAACGGTTCTTTCTAAAGAAAATTGAATGGCCAAAACCGGTTTGGCTCAGTGGATAGAGCATCGGCCTGCGGACTGAGAGGTCCCGGGTTCGATTCCGGTCAAGGGCATGTGCCTGGGTTGCGGGCACAGGATGTGCAAGAGGCAGCTGATCGATGTTTCTCTCTCATCGATGTTTCTAACTCTCTCTATCTCTCTCCCTTCCTCTCTGTGAAAAATCAATAAAATATATTTAAAAAAAAAAAAAGAAATTGAATGATGTCAGAAAAAGAGACCTCCATGTTTTGGCATTTGGGAGTTTTCACATTTTAATGCCTAACTGAACATTCAAGTAACCTATAGCCATCCTGGCAGTTGGCAAACATTGCTCATATACACAGAGTTTCCAATCAGCTTTTCAGCACTTAGAGATGTCTATATTTAATATTTAAAATGCCTTTAATGTGAATGAGGGAAAGACCAAGATAGAAATAAGAACACTTAAAGAAAGTTTAAACAGAGTTAGTGCAGGGAACAGAAGAAAATAAGTGTTAATCAACATTTCTAAAGATTTGAAAAGATATTGCATCCATAAAACAGTAAATGGATGCTATTAAAAAGGCCACTCAAAAAACAAAACTTTTGAAAATTAAAAACATGACTTCCAAATTTTAAATAAAGATCAATAATAGGTTGGAAGGAAATAGTTTAGAAAGTAGAAGATAGAAAATATGAAAGAAAAGATAGGAGTTGTAGAGGATCAATCCAGAAGTTTCAATGTCTGACATAGTTCTTTATTCCAGAGGGAATAGAAAAATGCAAAAGAGGAAATTCTCAAAAAAAATAATATGACTATTTTCCAAACTGAAAGATGAACTGTCCAGATTGAAAGGCTTCCCTCAATGCTTAGCAAGTTGCTTTTCAAAACAGCTTATACCAAGGCATATAATATACATACTTTATTTTTATGAAAACTAAAATCTTATTGTCTTAATTAAGTAGACTATTCTGAATGCAATAAGTACACTTATGAAGAAATTATTTTAACCTTTTAAAGAAACATCTTAACCAACTCACTGTATCTCAGAAAACATAATATTTTCATTCATTTATTCATCCCTCTAGTCATTCACTCAACAACTATACATATTGATTGCCTACTTTGTGAACCACCATGCTAGAGTCCAGGGAATCTAGATAAATTAGGTCTGCCCTTAGGAGGCTTTCATTGGAGAGAAGGTAAAAAAAATGTGAATAAATAAAAATAATACAAACTAAAAAAATTATAAATTCTAATAAGAAAAGAAAAGCTAAAGTATTCTGGATATTGAAAGATTATTTCTGGATGGAGGCATTAGGGAAATCACCTAGACAAGATTAAAAATTGAACAGAGCCTTGTGAAGATGTGGTGGGGGGAGGGCAGTAATTAAAGAGATGGTCTGTGTGAACAAGGTCTCAGAAATGGGAAAATATAACATGTCTGGGGAAAACAACAGGAATGCACAGCACACACACATGTATTTTTTTCCTACAAACTTCTTTAACTATTATGAGAAAACAAATCTAGATTGTAGGACATGTTACAAGGCAACAGACCTGGACTCTTCAAAGTATGTCCATATCATAAAAGATAGAAAAGAGGAGAGGAAGAATATTCTAAATTAAAAGATAACATGATTCCTAAATAGATTATGTTTATCTTTGATTGGATTCTTTGTCCAAAAAAAATGATTAAAGAAAGTATGACAATTGAGGACATTTGATTATGAACTGTATATTAGATGCTGTTATTTATCAATGATAAATGTCTTGTGTACAGGGATGGTATTGTGGTTATATAAGAGATGTTCTTGTTCTAAAGAGACACCTGATAAAGTACTTAGAGGTGATATCAGCAAGTTAATTTCAATTGATTCAGCAAACACACATAAAGAGAGAGCACTCACAGAAATATGGTAAAAATTAATAACTGGTGGAATTAAGTTGGGGTATTGGGTGTTCATTGTACTATTTTGTAACTCTCCTGTAGATTTGAAAATTTTCAAAATAACATCTTGAAAAAAGGAATTTCATGAAATGAGCTAATCAAATTAGACTGCAGCCTGAAGTAATGTAGAGATATAATTCAGCTTACACCTGTGATAAGACTGTATTTCCAAAGGTGAATTTAGGAACCCTGACTACACTACCACTTGAGCTCTTCCCAATTCCATATTTTCAATAAATTACCTTTTTAAATGTTTAAGATTTATTTTTTATTAAACTTGATATATTCTTTATGAGACCCTCTGTTGGTATGTATATGCCTTCACTCTGTTTTTTAATTTGACCAATTTGTGCCTTATTTTCAGGATAGCCAAACAAATGAGAGGTCAAGTTCTAGATGAATATTACACCCAAATGAAAAGATAATTCTTCTGTGAAAGGGAGTAAAATAACTTCTTTTCCATGCTAATTTTCATTTAAAAAGTCTACAAATATTTCAACATCCTTTCCTATTGTCCCACAACATTTATGGATTCATTTGTCCCAGCCAAACCTGAGGGAATCAGCAAGGTATTTGTTTTCTGTAAATCATTCTGAGATTATGCAAAAAGGTAGAATTGGGAGAGAGTTACTGGCAGGCTCTGAGTAGCACAGGAAATTTGCTTTAAAATACAGGAATGAAAGAAACATTTTCTTTAATTTCTTACCATGGAAATGGGAGGCAAATAGACCTAAATTAGAAACTCAACCATGTACTGACCAAGTAAAGATATAGAAACATATCTCTTGGAAGAAAATGGCAACTTATTCCATTATCATTATTTTTCACAGATAAAAAAGAAAGAATCAGGATGTGGTCATGCGACTTGCTTAGCTTATGCAGACTTCAAATATACCCTGTTTTTTTCTACAAGAACTATTTTACCAGGCTTTAAAAAAATAAACTTTTGGAAAATTGAAGTAGCATATATACATAGAAAAATGCAAAAATCATAAATATGCAACCACCACTGAAGCTAGGCTACATTTTTAATTTTCCATTTTTTGTTGCAAGCGAAAATTCCAGGCTTCAAATGTTTCTACACCAGTTGTCAGAAATATACTCTGTTCTCAAACATGTGATGTGAACAACAGGTACTCATTATCATAGTCGAGATTCTCTGATGCTATGAAGAATGATATCTTCCAACCTTCAAAGCTTTTCCAAATGCTGTTTTTCCAAGACAGAACCTACCCTTTTATCCACATCCCCAATGACAGAGAACTCTTTTGGTCATATGAGTAGACCACTGGGTCTGAATTCAAATCTAGCCTCTGGCACTTACTAAGCTTTGAATGGTGATAAAATCAAGACTATTGTGATAATTACTTATAGTATTACATAAAATAAATGTGAAAACACATTTCACCGAACCTGGCACATGATTGATAAAAACTTTCTTTCTCTCAGAAGTTTTGTATATTAGCTAATATTTAAAAATACCTGCAATTTTCAAATTGTTAATTTGATAATTATCATCAGTGTATTATTCCCCCAGAATAAATTACTGTGTGCTGGACTTCTTTCCCAGCACCCCAACATTTTTATTCCCCCTGCCCCAAATAAGATTAAAATGAACAAGGAGATGATAGAACAGCAAAGGGGCAGTGAGGGCCATCTGGAACTTGGGAGGGGCAGCCCCACTCTTCCTTGGTTAAAAATGATATATTATAATTTATAGATAGTATCCTCTGAGTGTCTGCCCAGCCAGCAACCAAAGAACTGGGTGGTGCAACCTGACCACCTTACCTTAATTGGGGTTTTTTTTTTCACTTCAGCTAAAAAAATTATGCAAATCACGGGTTTTCATGGGTCTCCATTCTTTATAGTTTCTCATTTTTCTTCCAACTCATGATAAATCTGTGATTATTCAATCGACATTTACTGAGTGGAACCCACTAAGTGGCAAGCCCTGTCTATCTGCTGTGTTCAGAATAACAGAGTTCACCCTTTAAGAAGTAACTGAAGGTTAAACTATTTTTTTAAGTCTTTCAAAATAACACTATACACAACCTTGCTATTTTAAAAAATAAAAATTTCATTTAAAAACAATATTTAATTCCTGGCTGGTTTTGCTCAGTGGATAGAGCATCAGCCTGCAGACTGGAAGGTCCTAGGTTCAATTCCGGTCAAGGGCATATGCCTGGGTTGCGGGCTCGGTCCCCAGTAGGGGGCGTGCAGGAGGCAGTCGATCAATGATTCTCTCTCATCATTGATGTTTCTATCT